CTCCGCCTTCTCCCCGGCCGCGGCCGGCGCAGCGGAGTCGGTGGGGTTTGTCTTCCTTTGGGGGAGTGACGCTGACGAGAGCCATTTCCTCCGCGCTCGCAGGAAGGAGCCATGGCTCTGGACGGGATAAGGATGCCAGATGGCTGCTACGCGGACGGGACGTGGGAACTGAGCGTCCATGTCACCGACCTCAACCGGGATGTCACCCTGAGAGTGACCGGAGAGGTGCACATCGGAGGGGTGATGCTGAAGTTGGTGGAGAAACTCGGTGAGTAGCACCCCCCCCCCATGCCTCCAATAAAGACTTCCCAGAATGGGAGGAGGGGGTGGGGAGGAAAGACGGCGGGGGGAGGGGTGGAATTGGGAGATCCTAGCACCCGGCGTGGGCTGCGCTGAAAATGCGAAATTTGTTCATATTAGAGCGCATAGGCCAGCTCCCCTTTGCGTCCTGTTTTGTTATTTTTGAATCCACGTAAGGTAGTGTGATTCGAGCCTACTAAATAACTTAACTGCGGATTCCCGGGACGACTTGTTGAAACAACGAGGAGAGAGTATGCAGGTCAAAGTTGTGAATGTGACATTCCGGGTCAGTGTTACCACGTCCTACCCTCATTGAACCTGGTGTTGTGACGGTGGTTAGTGGGGAGAATGTGAGACTGGCGTCGGTTATGAAGTTTCTGTGGCCGGACTACGTGGTGGAGTGCAGTGAAATGTTCCACTCATCCGCTCTTGCGAGGGGTGGGGCAGTGCTTGACCAACTTGGTATCTATATTGAGTTGGGAGTAAGCTATTTCGAGCATTTAGTTTTATGTTAAGAAGCCGATGAAAGAACTTCGTGGTTTTTCTTTTTAAATCGGGCTTTTAATAAACTAATTTGAGGTTGACAGAATTTATTGTGAGTACACACAATGGATTGATTCTGACTCCGATTGGAAGTAAAGGGCGATCACATCCCACAGGGTATTCGAGAAAACTTGGCACTGCGCATTCTGTGATCAGTCAAACCATTTTCACCCGGCAGAATTAACCGACTAGATCAGATGGGTGATTTTATCGGGAGAGCTTTTATCAGAGGACTGCTTTCCTGGGCTGTAAATGCGCTTGGTGCTGTATCTAATGAAGTCATGCTAAATTGTTTTGTATGGGGGTGTCATTTTAGACAAGGTTGATTGGTTTTCATCAGTATCCATGCTTCAGGCCATCCTGGAAAAGTAAGAAATAATCGTTTCTCAGGAAATGTATTTCTTATCAAGGGGGGGGAGGGGAGGGGAGCTGCATATTTGCCATATAAACGTAAATGAAATAGCAGTCTGAAACAATTTGGAAAATTAGACTGAATTCATTTAGGTGAACCTGCTTTATGCCCCTGCAGGGAATTTAATTATTGAAGGACCAAAGAAGCACTCATCTCAGGGGGGCCTTCTCCACAGGGTCCATTGTTTGCCTCTAGAGACAGCCCAAGAAAGAGCCCCCAGGAGCCTTTTGAGAATTCAATTTTGCTGGTTTAACCAGGGAACTGTCAGTTTACAGTTTTTATTTGATTCAAGTAAATCAGTCACTGTTGGCAAAATATTTACCAACCATTTCTGTCCAGCTCCACTCGAGGATGAAAACTATCCAATATGGTTCCTGTTTGACAAGAAAACGGTCGTTTGTATCAGATTTCCTTATGTGTGATAAGTAGATCTTACTAATACATCGTAGTTTTTAATTATTTAGTTAATTTTTGTTTTTGTTATTTGAGACAGAGTCTCACTGTGTAGCTCAGGCTGGCCTGGAACTTGCTGTGTAGACTAGACTTGGCCTGGAACTCACAGAGATCTGCCTCTGAGTTCTGAGATTAAAGATGCTCAGAGCCCAGCTGTACATTGTAATTTTTTTAAAGATCATGCAATAAAGGATCTGTTAAAGGTGACTTAGACAAGTTGGAATTCTCAAAAAAAGGCTTTAATGAATAAATAATGATTTCTACTATATTTACATCACTTTGATTGACTGTGTTATGAAATCACAATTATAAATAGAATTGTAGGGAATGAGCTGTTTGTAGACAGGATTGAGGTTATTTTTGAGTAACTATAATCTTAATAAATAATGCTGATCAGATTAATTACATAGAAAAGCCTAAAGGGGTATTGGGGAACTTTGTACCTTTCTTCAGTTGAACCGATACTGATTCCCTTGTGATTTAAGTTCCAAAAAGAAAGTCATTTTTCAGCAAACTTTTGACAGGTACACAGAGTTGGATGCCATTAAAAAAACGTCCACAAATCAGGCCAGTCAAATTAGGAAAGAATTTTGCCGTTTTTCAGATTTGTCTTAAAGTTGGAATGCGCTGCCTTCTGAAGCCCTGCATCGTTATCACCGAAGGCATTAAAGGGTAGACTTGATGACTACTTGTCGACAGTGGCCAGCTAGATCAAAGCACTCTACAGAGTCTGGATAAGAGACGGAGGTCATTGTAGGGATGAGAGGGTACAGTCTCTGCTGTCTTCAGGTTGCACAGCAGTACTGGACATGTAGCAAAAGCAGGCTCTGTGGCCCTGACCAGTTAATGACATCACTGCAGGAGCCTTAACCTGTATCTCCAGGTGCCTGCTGCCTGTCTGATACCCTTTTCACCCTCCGTGGAGGGTCTATGGTTACCAGAGGTTTTATGGTTCAAAGCTATCTTCCCCATACAGTATTCATGGTACCCCATGAGTCCCTGGAGTTAGTAGATCCCAGGATGAACCCTCCCTTTGATGTATTAAGTGTGGAAGCTCTGGAAAGAGAGTTCTTTGGCTGTCATGAGGTCCTCAAAGATGCGTGTGAGCAGAAAGGGGAACAGCCGTACAGTAGGGCTTACTGTGTAGCCACAGTGTTCCGCCAAGAACAGACCAAGACAAAAGGGTAAATGATGCTTTCCTAGGCTGTCTCAGTGAAACCTTTGTACTGGGTTTCGGGGTTTTATAAAGAGCATTTGCATTTCAGGGAATGTTACTGGAACCTGATTCTTAGATTTATTACTTCAAGTATCTGAAAAGCCTCTAGTGTGGAGTACATTTGTCATTCTGCAGTAGACATTTAAAAGAAAACGAGGAGTATATGCTGTCAATATGATGTGGGCTTTAGGGACTTATGTCTTGATAAGACAGAAACTTGTATCATTGACCCCTTGTAGGCTGATCCTAGGCAGTCTTCTTATTGTAGACCTCAGTGTATGTGAAAAAAAATTTTTTTCATCAATTTCTTTTTAAAAGCCATAATGAATGCTTTAATTATTACTACAATTATTGTTAAATTTTTAAATGTGCGTAGTTTAATTTTTTTCCATTGTGTGTGTTATAAATTGTGCTACAATATATAAGGACATTTTCATACAGGTATATGACATGTGTTGAAGTGTTATGTTGGTTTGTTTTGAAGCAGCTTCTCATTATGTACTCAAGGCTAGTCTGGAATTCATTGTATAGCCCAGGCTATCCTTGAACTTAGCCTCCAAAGTATTAGGATCCATGCATACACTGCCATGACTGGCCCACTAGAGGGTGGTTTTCTGTTTGTTTCTTGTTTTGTTTTGGTTTTTCAGAACAGGGTTTCTTTGTGTAGTCCTGGCTATCCTGGAACTAGCTCTGTAGACCAGGCTAGCCTTGAACTCTCAGAGGTCCACCTACCTCTGCCTCTCAAGTACTAGGATTAAAGGCACATATCACCACACTTGGCTTTTTTTGCCCCGGGGTGGGGTGGGGTGGGGTGGGGGGATGGGGGGTTAGAAAAAAAATAAACTGTATCAAGGATAAGGATTATAAAAATAAAAGAGGATATAATTTAAGATAATTATATCTAAAAATAAATTCTGAAAGGCTTAATTGGATGGGATTCCTCTGGAGATCCTGGAAAGCAATTACAGACTAAGACCTGGGAGATTCAGTACTCCAGTCAGCACTGAGGAGTCTTAAGGACCAAAGAGATGCTTAATTGATGTTATGTTTGGTTTTTCTTTTTCTCTAGTGTGCTCTGAGCTAACTAACCTTTGCTGAGTTTTAGAGTCACTTTACAAAAGTCTTTCTAGATGATTCTTACAATTACACCTTTGAACCTTTCTAAAAATACTCATTTTCAGTGGTGAGTAAGGAATTTATAATTTTGTGGAGCTCACTGAATGGACATCTCAGCAGCTAGCTCTGAGCTGGAAGGGAGGAGTCAGTTTACCAGACCAATTTCCCCTTAGTCTGAGGTTAAATCACATCAGATAATACAGATCAAAAATACACGTTTCAGGATTCAGGTATAACAAAGAAGAAGTGAATGGAGTTGATTTACAAAATCTGAAGAATGCCGGGCCTGGTTGGTGCATGCCCTTAATCCTGGCATTTGAGAGGCAGAGGCAAGTGGGTCTCTGTGAGTTTGAAGCCAGCCTGGTCCACACAGTGAGATTCCAGGCCAGCCAAGGTTACATAGTGAGACCTGCTCTCAAAAAGGGGGAACAGGAGGAATCCAGTTAGGTTGTGAAGTTAGCATGCATGATCTAAACTAAATAAAGGTATTAGTGAAGTTATTTATAAATTACTCAAAGTGATTTCTAAGTGTGCATTTATTGCACCTCCCAGAAATACAAATAGCTAGTCTTTTCCTCCAGGAACTCTAAAAGTAAGTTTTAGTTGAGTGCCTGCTGAAAAAGTTGGCTCATATTAGAAGCTTTGTTATGTAAAGTACTTAAACACTAAGATCAGAGACTGACTGGGTGTCCAGAGAGAGAGAGAGAGAGAGAGAGAGAGAGAGAGAGAGAGAGAGAGAGAGAAAGAGAGAGAGAGAGGCCATGTGACTGGAAAGCCCTCCTCCAGTCCTCATGCTTATGGCTCCCTGAGGAACGGAGATGGTATCCACGCTGGGAAAATCCTGTTTCCCCCTTTAAAGGCTTAGGAGCAAATGTCTGCGTGATGCAGGTCACCGACTCCCAGCCCAAGTGTATTAGGGCTCTAAGGCATGTTTTCAAGTCTTTGGGTGGGTGGCAGGAACAGCTGGGGAATCCTAAGTGAACTGAATCCCAGTTAAATTTGATAGCACGTTTATGCGGTGTTTCTATACCGTGACTGAGCCACAGGAATTCAGTATTGAATTTTATCCGTTTCTTAAAAACGTGCAAGCTCTTTGGGCAAGAGAGATGGTTCACAGTAGGTTAAAGGTGCCTGGTGCCAAGTGTGACAACCGCAAGCAACCTGAGGTCACTTTCTGGAACTCGGGATAACTGACTCCTACAAGGTGTCCTTTGACCTTTGCACATGT